TCTTATATAATCTAAAGAAGAAGCTGGTAAATGTTCCATAAAGCAGTCACAGACATGCTGGTGTATGTACAAATGAGTACCTAAATTTGGGGATTTGATATATTACAATAGAAATTTTATTAGTCTTTCATTCAGTGATTCGGAATATTTACCTTAAGTAAAGTATGTAAAAGAAGGAAAAATATGTGTACAGAATTATGTTCACTCTAACATTTTTTTTTTCTGATAGCAAAAAATACACAAATCCATTTAAATGTCAACAAGAGCTTAACTTCACTATGGTAAATCTACTCAATGGAAATTTTTTTTCTGACTACTTTATGTTTATGCTGACTACGTTAAGTGAAAAAAAAAACCCACAAACTACAGAATTATACATTCAGAATGATTTCAAGTATGATTTTTAAAAAAACCCACGCATAGGGAAAAAAAACCTAGAAAAAATTTTCCATATGCCAAATATTGATTGTGGTCTAACAGTTAGATGGTGAGTGATTTTTAAATCTTTTATTTTTGTCTCTCTCTCTTTTGTGTGTGTAGTTTTTAAATTAGTGATACTATGAAAACAATTTTAATGTTTTTTAGATGTATTAAATGCTGTGGGAAAAGAAGAAAAATGAGAATAGCTTTTGATTTTCCCTTAAAAGAAGCAACGTGCGTATGTGTTTGAGGCACTGCGGGGGCGGAAAGGAGGTCTGCACAGAACTTACAGAAATGTGTTGCACTAACTGATGCTCAGCTGATAAGGCATAAATCTTGCCAGTCAAAGATTTCAACCTGTAACGTCAGAGGGACTTGGGAATAAAGCATGAAGTGACAGAATTGGACAGGTGAAAAAGCAAGTGTCACCCAAGGGACCAGAAAACAGCTGCAAGAACCTGATCCATGATAAAAAGAAAAGTTTCATCTGTCCGCAGGTCAGCCATCACATCATCAAAATTTTGCGTAACTTAAGGAGGAAAGACAGTATAAAAGACTCGAAATGCCATATGGACAATGGAGAGTGGGTGAAGGGGAGGGAAGGGGTTTGAATATAATTTTCCCAAAGTTTAGAGCGCTGTTAATAGAAACCGTTAATGTAGCCGTTAAACCTAACTATTATCTAAATTGGATATTTAGGTTAAATTGCCTTGTCTATTTTAAAGGGACGAAAGGAAAATTCACAATAGAAACTGAAAGTGAAAAAACTGCGATGTCTCAAAACAGAAAGCAGAGAGAGGGACCACCCTATGGAGGTTTAGACAAATGTAGCAATTATAATAGAATTATAATACTCACTTATTACATTAATTATAATACTTCTTATGAAAAGAGAATCCATTAAAAAACAAAACAAAACCCAACCATCTTGTGCCAATACGAAATAAAGAAAACAAAAAGGCATAGACGGAGTCAAATGATAGGATAACCTATGAACTGTCAGGCACACAGAACACTAGAAAAGTAGGAAATATGGCCAAGTAATTATTTTTAGCTAAAAAGAATTGAGATAGCAACACAGAGACCCCACAAAAGTAAAAATTATGATAAACAATTAAACATAAAATTTATATTCTAATGAGCATCACAAAGAAGTCCACACTGGGAACAAGCAGAAACACAAAATGAAGTAGAAATAGGAACGTAACTGTAGATAGAGCGCTTAATGCTCCCTCCCTTAGAATAGCATCAATCAAGTAGACAGAAAACTAGAGCTCTCAATAGCTCGATTAACAAGGTAGAACTAGCAGAAAAGCGGGGACTAAATCATAAATCAGGGGGATGCACTCTCTCTGGGAGAGGACAAGGGTCTTTGACCACAGTCATCTCATTCCGGGGCCCAGACAAAGACTCCAAGGCAATGGCAACTCTACCCATCTGTTCTCAGACCCATCTGCTGCAGCAGATAAGGAAACACTGCTGCCTGCTGCAGCTCCGTGATATCAATGACACATAATAGGCGTTTTTATGCATTCTCTTAAGTAGCCTCTTAAATAATGTGAGTCAAAGATGAAATCAGAAGTATATTTCTGAAATACTGAATAAGAGCAAATATTTATACCCAAAACACAGATGCAGTCACAGCTTAAAGGAAAATGAGAATTCCTAAGTGTTGTTGTAAACAGAAAAGACAGTGAGATATAAGGTAAATCCGGGCTACATGCAGACAATCTGGAAGAGGAACATAGGGCGACTTGTGACAAGTGGCCCTTGCACTGCTCTGATCAGCCACGGGCTAGAGGCTCTCTGTCTGCAGGGGCTGCATGTGGAGGGGCTGGGAAGCCACAATGCAGGAAAACATAAAAACTAGAGTTGTTCATAATCTATAAAAACAGTAGACAACCTAGCATTGCCAAGGCTCAGGACAAGCTCCACTGCATGACTCCATGGGGTCATATAAGGAACAAGTTCCAGGTGCTTAGAAAGCGGAACTGTCTTGCTACCGGAAGTCAGAGAGCAGACCAAACAGTCATGTAGTGAGTTCCCTGTTCCTAGAGGTAAACAAGCAAAGGTGAAATATCTGTCTATCCAGAATGTTGTCAAGGGAATTCACACCTATGAAGGGCTTCTTTTCTTTTCTTTTAAACTCTGTAATAGAATATTCTGTCAACATATTGTTTTTTAAAGTTTAGTGAAGAGGAGAGAAAACATCTCGTGCAGGAAAAGGGGCTGGACTGAGAGTCCAGAGGCCCCTGCTCTGCTCCTGAATGTCTCTGGCTGTGGGGTCTCTGTCTGGCTTCTCTCAACCAAACAGCACTGCTCAGCCCTGGGGGCCAGGAGCCTGTGGCCTCACCAAGGGGCTCTTTCCTGCCAGCTCGGCTCCAGTCAGGGCTGTGATTCCTGTAGCTGTCAGTGCCCAGTCTGCCCACACCTTCAAGGAACCAACATCCCACTCAAGGCAGCCCCGATTCCGTGTCTGCACAGCAGGGGCATCTAAACCCAGCTGTGTGGCTCAGACCAACCCAGCTTTCCTTCCTGGAAGTCCTGGATTTTCCAGAAAACAACAGCAACGGGGAAAATGCAACCTGATTAAGAAGGTGCCCTCTTCTCTTGTGCTGCCAAGCCTCTCACCAGCACGGAGCACTGTGGTGTGAGTCACCTCAGAGTCGGGAGGGCCAGCCTGGGGCTGAGCAGAGTTGGTATCGTCTGAGATTGTCGTTTGAGGAGGAACACTCTCCGGGACCAGGTTTCTTACCTAAAATCCCAGTGTCCTCTAGGGGTGCAGTGGTGAATGCCATGATTAGATTATAAAGATTTACTTGGATGCCATTATCTGCTGCTAATACCATAGTGTGAATAAATCCATCAGTTTACGCCTGAGTTGGGCTTCTGAAGGACACAATGCAAGAAAGGACAGGACACAGTGGGGACAGAGCACATAGACAGAATCTGAGAGTCCAGAATTTTGTGGTAGTTGCACCCCAAGCTTGGTGGGGCTGGAGAAGGGCTGGGGGAGGACGGGACCAGCTCAAGGACTTGAGGTGTGGCTAGCTCTGTGCTAAGTGCTCTACAGAGGATACTCAGTACATTCCTGAGACTTGTGATAATGATGCCCATTTTATAGATGAGAACAGTGAGGCTCACAAAAGCTGAAGAGTCTGCTTGAGGTCAAACAGGTAGTGAGGGTCCTCGCTGGAACTCACATGCTGAGTTTCTCCTGTATCTTTCCCCCACCCCGGTCCCCCACCAACATCCTCAGCAAGAGTGCCTAGTGTGTCCCAGAGCCCCCGGCCCCCATTTCCTCACCCCTTTGAGTGCCTGACACCACCTAACATGGTCTGATCCCCTCAGACTCACCTCTTCTCCTAAAAACCCCATCCCTTCCTTCAAATGTCCACTTCCCTTTTCCCCCTGCATCCTCTGATGTGATTTCCCTGCTGTGGCTGAGTGGGGCTTTTAATGATCATACATATGCCACTGGGGTGAATGTCCTTGCCGTCCTTTAGCAACCCTGGGACAAGGACCATGCCTCCTTCACCCTTATGTCACCGTGCCTCACATAAAACAAGCCCTCGAGAAGGACTTACTAATTGAAAGGGGGACTGAATGAATGACCTGGTCTGTGGCAGCTCCAGTATGACAGGTGTTTCCTGTGGAGCTGGGACCGCTGGTCAGCCCCGAGAGCCCCGAGCCTTCCACGGGGCTCCAGGCGCACTGTGCACACCCCTGTCCCAGCTCCCTGCCCCAGGAGCACAAAGCCTAGTGCAGGCCAGTCCTGCAGACTTCCTGACCTCCTATTCTCCACCCTAACTCTCAAGAAAGAGCTAGAATCTCCAGGGCTCTCCGTGCTGCCCTATCTCCCCTCCCAACCTCTCCAAGAGACACTTGGTGAGGGGTCGAGAATAATCTAGTCATAATATGTAATAGTAGCCAAAGCTTCCTGGGTGCTTACTGGGGGTAAGTACTTCCATCAATTACCACTCTCAAGAGCCCCTTGAGGAAGAAACTATTATTGCTCCCATTCCCCAGAGAGATACACTGAGGCCCGGGGAAGTTCCACAGATGGCAAGTGCCTGGTCTGGGTTCCCAAGCATGACCCCACCCTGCTGCGAGCACCTTCCTCAGGGGCTGCAGGGTGATTCCTAGAGTTTGTGATCTTGGGCTCTGGGTGGTTTCCTGGCCAGACTCCGGGGGAGCAGGCAGCAGGGCCAGTGGACGGCAGTGTCACGCAATCCGAGCTCCCCTGGGGAAGACTCCTGGGCCGCCTGCAGTGAGGTTTCCCCTCCCTGGCAAGATGTTGCAACCCTGAGTCAAATCAGGAGGAAGCTGAGGGTTTGTAGAAAATGTCACCTGTAACTGGGGACAAACCAGCCCTCCGCCGCCGCCGCTGCTGCCACGGAGGCTGTCAGGGACTGCTGCTGTCCCTGCCTTCTGGGAAGGCCCGCCATCGGGGCAGGTGTGGGCAGAGCCCACGCCGCGAAGACCCGGCTGACCTCAGGAAAGTCACCCGCCGTCCACCAGAGCAAGGTCAGTGCGTGGCTCTGTGCGTTGGTTTTTCTGAGCGGCCCGGGGGCTGTTACCTGTGGGGGGTCCGGTACAGCTGAGCGAGCTGTGCAATGTCATTTCTCCTCCCAGCTTGGTCACCAGCCTGCTCTGGGGAGTCACTTCCCTCTCTGGGGTTCAGCTTCCTCGTCGGTGAAATGAGGGGGTGGGACCAGACGCTCTTCAAATGACTCCGCATCAGCCTCGTCTGGCCAAAGGGTTCCTTCTCTCGGGTCTGGAGGAGGGCTCCATTAGGGGTCCCTCCCCCTAAGTGGAACTAGAGTGTGGCCTGGGGGGCATGTTGCCAGGAAGAGTCTCTACGTCCTGTGCCCTCTCAGAGGGTCTGCAGGCACCCCCAGCTTCCAGAAGAAAAGCCAAAGCCACTGGCTGAGCCAAGGCCCAGGAAGTCTTGGGGAGAGGAGGAGGCATCTCACGCAGCAGACGGCCCGTGCCTGGCATCCCGCAGGGACAGCCGGAGCCCGAGAAGGGCTGTCGTGGCTCCCAGTGCTTCTGGGGTTTAGCATTCAGAACTTCTGCCCACAAAAAGGGGGCTGGTGCTGGACGCCTTCATATTTTTAGGGCTCGTGAGCTAGGAAGGCCTCAGGGCGCAGCCCAGGGCGGGGACCCCCTCAGCCCCTACATGGTCTGCGGGGGTGCCTGGCTCTGCTGCTCCCCGACTCTGGATTCTCAACCCCAGGCCTGCACAGTGATCTGGGTCAGCCTTGGGCTGCGTTGTTCCCGTGGGCCCTGCGGGCAGAGATTTCCCCAGCAAGGCCCATTTTCAGGGCAGGGAGAGTAGAGACTCGCCCGTGGGCCCTGGGTGGCTCTCTGCAAGGAACTCATGCAGGTTCCAGACATTCAGGAAAGTCTGGGCTGAAACGCAGTCTGGCAGATTCCGCTCCTGGGCCCAGGAGGGGCGAGGAGATCGCATTAGAGACTGAGGCACGGGCTGTTTTCACAGGCCCGGCCTGCTGTGACTTTCAGGCACCCACAGGAATAGAAACTCTCCAAGGTGGGTCTGGTGATTCACCCCAGAACACGCACGGTCTATGTGTAAAGAACAGCTTGGTGTGACTGTGGGGAAGTCCCCGGGCCCTCCAGAGCACGGGATCCCCATCATCTGGTGAAGAGCTCGGCACAGCTATGTCAGTTTTTAGACTCTGTCTCCCATCTGATCAAACCTGCGCTTGGATGAAGGGTAGAACCCAATTTGCTCCCTGCCCTGGGCCACGGAAACTCACGTCGGCCTAGGCTCAGGGGCAGGGCTCAGGACAGTGTGTCCCCAAGCGAGGCCACCCCAGGCCTCAGGCCCAATCTAAGTCAAGGTGAGGTGGCCAGGCCAGGGCACCCCGGGCACGGCTGCAGGAGGCCAGGAGCCTGCGGGGAAGGTGGTGGGGAGGAGACAGGCAGGTGTCCAGGGCCCGCAGCAAGGGAGCCCCGGGAAGGGGTCAGCAGAGGGTGACTCACCGCTCAGCCCCTCCTCAAAGGGCGCCTCAGCCACCTCACCGTCTGGCTGTCTTCTTTTTTAAAATAAATATTTTCTTTGTACTTTATTGTTGCTTTTTATTTTAAAATTTGAGTACATGCACATGACTCAAATACCAATGTAAACATGCAGTAAAATGTCTGTGCCGACACTGCCTCCAAATCCAGTACCCACCTACCCTCACGGTACCACTGATTGCAGCTTCTTTCAGAGGTTCTGGACCAGCACATCCATATGTGGGTCTTTATTTTCTCCCTTTTAATGCAAACACACGTCATCTTCCACTTCCCTTTCTTGAAGAGCCTTGCTAATGACTCTTATCCGGGGAGTGATGGTGGACTCCTGGCTGGGGAATGTGAGGTCCAGAGAAACCCAGTGTGCTTGCTTACAAGGGGTGGGCCAGGCAGGGTTGGCCCAGGGCTGACACACGGCTCAGGCCTCTGCATCCCGCTCCTCTCCTACCCCCCACCCCTGCCGCAGCGCTGGGGAGTCATTAATATGAAGACTTTTCCCCAGAAGGTTTCCCTTAAACAGCCCAGAACCAGCCACCTGAGTCCTGCCCCGCCTCTCACCATCCAGAGCAAATCAGAGGCTTTGGGAGCCTGGGTGGGTTCCTGCCTGAGCTATTACCTCCATCCTCACCGCACCCCTGGGCAGCCCCTGAGCTCCAGGAATCACTCCTTGTAGGGTGAGGAACCAGCCATTCTGACTGTATCTGCCAAGGAGCCGCTCCCCAGCACCCGGGGAGTCACCACACCTCTCCTGATGCTGCTTTATTTGCTCCTTTAGCTCATGGAGCATCCCCTTCAGGGGGAAGACTTGCCTACCCACCTGGGGACACTGCAGGGTGTAAGTGCTGGGCCAGAGCCTGGAGGATGCCCCCCACCCCTGCCCAGGGAAGCTGCTCAGGGAGCAGGGGCGAGGAACAAGGTGAGGGAGGAAGATGCTAGAGGCACAGAGAACAGCAGAAGTGCAGACACGAGGTGAAGAGTGTGGTGTTTGGTGGGGATCCAGGGATTTCTCTGCACAGCTGGAGGCCAGGGGAATGGCAAGAGCTGAGGCTGGGGGCTGGCCAGACAGGAGCAGGGGCGGGGATGCTCAGGGGCCCCAGGGAATGTACGCTCTGGCCCAGAATGTCATTCAGGAAGCTGCTCGATAAAACAGAAACATCTGGCTTAGTACAGAGTCTTTCTTCTAACACCCATCCAAATTAGGACCAGCTACATGGAATGGGGCCGTTCAAGGTCTAGACATAGGACAGACCCACTCGGGCAGCAGGGTCAGGGTGGGGTGAGGGCAATGGCAGTAAAGGAAGAAATCAGGAAGGGGAGGGGGTGTTGGCGTGTCTGAGGGAAGGGCCACCATCTTCTGAGGCAGCCTGATTCCAGCAAGAGACACAGATAGGCCGAGCTCAGTAGCCAGCCCTCAGGTAGCTGCTTTGTGAACTTGGCTCACTGCCTAACTTCTGTAATCCCAGTCACACACTCATTCAATCAACAAACATCTGTTGATCATCTACTCTGCACCGGGCAGTGGTGGTCAAGACAGACCACAGCACCTGTCTCAGAAACAGTTTTCAGGAGTCAGTGAGCAGCAGGGGTCAGAGCACCCAGCAGGTGTCTGGCTCTCAATGACCCTGAGACCCTTCGGCCCCCACTGACGTTAGGTCTGCCTCAAGGGTCTCTTAGAAAAAAACAGGGAAAGCAGCAACATGGAGAATGGAACCTTCGTGATGGAAGGGGGTGGAGTCCCAGAAGTCAGAGGTGGCTTCAACGGGCCGGGGGTGGGGGGGAGAGCAGGAGAAACTGAGGACGGAGAGACAGGGAGAGGGAGGTGGGTGTCGCCCCCTTTGTCCCCTCCTGCCCCTTGCTCCAAACCTCCAGGCTCTGCCACGGGTCTGTCCCCAAGCCCGGTCCGTGCGTTTAGCTTGCATGGCTCAGTCCGCTGGAGCGCAGATGAGGCCCTTCCCGAGGGTCTGAGCCAAGTCCCCAAGGACCTCCCGCCCACCTGGCCCTCTAGTTGTGGCAAAGACAGCTGAACCCTAACAGCACCTACGGGGCCTGTGAGTGTCCAGCCTCCTTGGAAGTGGGCACGTGGGCGGGTGACGGCATCAAGGTCACGACACTTACTATCAAGGCAGAATGAAGTAGAACATGCCAGGGGCAGCAGCCTTTAAAATTCACCCCTTCCCCTCCCACACGTCCCTTACGGCTCTCACTGGAAATGCACTGTGAGGTTAAGGCAGAAAGTTCTGGCTGCTCAAACATCTGGGTGTGGGCTTTCTTTGGTTCCTGTCATGACTCTGGCCATGTTTTCAGAGATCCCGGCTCCCCACAATGGTCCTCCCCATAACTGCTTATGGCCCTAATGGGAGCCTGCAGGAGTCAGACAAGGCGGTCTTCAAGCCAGACACCGAAATTCCACAGCATCAGAGGGGCTCTTCACCACGAAGGTGATAAAGACCACAAGATTCTAGAAACGATGGACATCCAAAGCTTCCCCTTCATCTGAAGGCAGAGGAGGGAAGGTTCTGTGATTTATTTAAGCAGGGCCGGAACTTTCAAGTTAACACCACTGGCTTCGGTGTCCAGGTTGTCCAAGGCCCTTTGGAGGGCTGGCCCTTAAG